GCTTCTGGAATCGATCGACGTGCAAATCACAAAGAAATGATAAGCGAAGCAACGAATGAGAATCCTCAGTCGGAAATACAAGGCTAAATCTTGCACAAATACCTGTCTTAGATACCAATGTATTTTAAATTTCCATTACGTTAATTACTGCCGACTGGCCAAATAGAAACTGCGCTAATACTCATCGGGCTTAGGATACTAATATCATTCAGCTTGTATATTGCCATTGCCTGTGTAGATAGTCCAGCCACGTGGATGATATATACATTAATATACAAAATTGTCGAAGTTCACCAATCTACCGCACGGGATATCCACAAACCCCATTTTATTAAGCCCTGGAATGAAATGAAACAATATCGAGCAAAGTTATTGCATGATGTTTTCTGTTCGTCGTTGAAAACACTGCAATCGGCTATTGGATACCATTCTTTTCCTTGCCGATCTTCTTCACGACCCTTACAAGGCTAAGTGGATATAGATTCGAATTCCGTGTTAAGGCAATTCGTTTCTCTCGTGCTTTTCCCTTTAGACGGGTTAGTCGTTACTCAGATACATATAGCACAATGGATATCTTACCCCGTAATTCCAGGCTCTTGCCAAAGCCAGCCATGCTTATCAGCCCCAAAGCCAAAAATAAAAATAAAAATAAAGAGCTCGACCCCAGCTGCGGAGAGGTGCTCATAAGCACTAGTGACACGTGGAATTCTCTGACGAACTGACAGAGGCTGTGCTTATTTTTCACTTTCGATGATCTATTCCTACTTTTCGTCTTACGTTGTCACTAGCTTGATCCTGATCGTTGTTCTAGAACTGGGGTGGTTGTGTCGGGGTTTGCTTATTTCAGGCCTATCAGGTGTGTATGCTTTTCCGGATATATATGTCCATGGATGTAATAGATAGTTACACAGCATACGATATATTGTATGGAATATATTATACACTGATATTGAATGTTCATTTATTTTGATCCACAGCCAACTCTTCAGGCCTGGAAAACACGATCTGCCTTAACTTTGGGTCTGTGCAATACAGTCGTACAAACATACATCTCTTGTACAGACTTCAGACCTTAAATCGGCCCACTAAATGCCAGGTAAAGCAGCTATCTCATCTTGTGATTTGCCAGTGCGTATATGCAATGTCCAACCGGTTATATGTGGAGAACAACGACATTGTCAGACCCGGATTGGATAGTGTTGGCCTGTCGTTTCTTTTTCTCACGGCATCTCTCCGGTATAATGCATTGGAAAAGGTTTACTGCTATGTAAACAGAGACAACGTACATAGGAGTTCTGCAGAATAATAAATTTCCCACAGTGGATTCGGATCAGCCCTGACGGCCGGATTTGGCACGGAAACTGTTACACGGCAGCCGATCGTGGGCTATGCAGTGGAACGAGGATATGTCGCCATACTACGATGTACTACAAACTACAACCTATGATTAAGCGAAAGAAGGATTTTCACTGCAAGGTTAGGAACGATTGGATTGGGTGTGATGTAGGCTAGGACATGTGTGTGGATGTTGCGTATGGGGAGATGTGACATGGATCCTCCGAAGAAATGAAACGGGAAAAAAAAGGTGGAAATGAAAAAGAAATGAAAAAGCCAAGTGAAAAAGTCCAAGAACCAACAGGTGAAACCATCTTTCATTCGTCAGAACGACCAAGACAACCACAATATCATTACCTCCCTCAACTCATGATCAGGAGCGACCGTAGCGATCATAAGTCAAATGCACGCACATTAACTTCCAGGCGCTGTGCACCTTCGACCATCCCTAAAGTAGTAAACAGTCAAATTTACAGCGTCCGCTATAACTATCGGTGAGGACACCGATCAGGTCACTATTCACACATGCGTATGACTTCAACCCAAGCCACGCCAATCAGTCCCAAGCATTGACAACATGGCGAAGCACTAATGCTACCACCATCACACCGAAGCCAGAGACCCGGGTCATTAGCTCCGGGATCGGGCCTTCTGGCTTGAGCTATTTCTGCACTTTAATGTTTCAGCTGATAGTCTGAATTCCGACAGCCTGTTGGATGACGGAGATGTCTTAATGCATCGCTTCGGGATTTGCTGCCTCGAACAGGTTGGTTTGAAAGGAGGGGGCGGGGCTATGATTCTGGTGCGTAGTATTCATCTCAGCGTGAAGTTGAGGTAGTATCTGCGTGTTTAGTTCTGGGATATCACCGACTTGCATCTGATTTAGTAGGTCAGACTATCGATAGCCTTTCCTCATAGCTCATGAATTTCTCCGGATCAACCGCGTCATCTTCGTTGAAGTATGATAAAGTTTATCCATTCTACTCCATACACCCAATTTGGCAGGACCTTGATCTTCAAAGCATACAGTATCAAGCAATACCACACAGCATATCTTCAGGTATTATTCAGAAATTTGAGTTTTAAGGGATCGCTTCACAGACCACAGCATCAGAGACCACATGTCATCTAGTGTGACGGATTGTCTTCCGACGTTCTCCGCAACCGATGCTAGACATGCCCAACTAATAGCGGATACTTGAGAGATTCCCCGAGCATACATCTGACGACAACTTGCACATCTTGACTCGGTTTGGCAACAGTTTTTCTTTGATAGTTAAAAATTCCCATTGGGTTACGGAAGCACATGCTCAAACAAGGCGGACTGGTGACGTCGGTCTCATGGTTCCTTTTGCGAGTCAGAACGTTGCACGGTTGTTTCATGTTTGGAATGAATCAGAAAGAGTCTTCAAGGACTGGGATACAGGTAAAGAATTCGTGTATTTTACAGTGGGTATTTGTTTTTTGGTTTCTATTGTAATTTTTCAATAGAGTAAATTACATCTAGCGCGACGTTTTTTTTTTTTTTTTGTTTTCCTTTCCTTACAGAGCCTCACATCTTCATAAACTTTCGCTTATTATATCCGCCCAACCAGCATTGAGATATTAAATTGCAGTAAATGAAAGCGAACCATGGAACCAGGCCAGGCTATAGTATAGACCCATTACGACCCATGGATACACTTCGGGGTAGCCGTGAATGATATTCTGGCTCCATCGAGACCGGAGAACACGGAGATTCAGACGGAGTTGCGATATTGAGTTGATCTTCCATTCAAACTTGAGCAACATATAAGAAGCTCAAGATAAGAAGCGTGAAGAACACAAAGTGCCTAGTATGCATCGGATCTGCCCGTTTAGAAGCCGAATGTAATCTCTTATGATCTTCGAGATTTTGGCATGTTTTGGGCCGTGTTGCCGGATTAATATGGAGCTATTTCTGCACGAAGTAGTGGGGTGGTAGCCTTGCAAATATTGTCGAGTCTACGGTGTACATGTGTATAATGATATCCAACCTTGCGCCTCTCAAAAGGCTATTATCCATTTATCAAGCGCCGTTGGAACGTGCGTGCATTGATCATGCATTTATTGAAATTCTATTCCATATCACCTATGTTAAGAAGCTGTTCGCATATGTTGGGTTGGTTACTGAATTTGCCGCACCCAATAATTTATAGCGCTACACTAGTGACCGCTATAGGATAGATCTCCTGCAGCATGCATATCTTATTACTGTTTCGGGACATGCAGGCAGACTGATTCGAACACTGTATAATCGCAACTTTGGAACGGTCTGTACAACCTACGGCGAAGCAAGATGTACACTGCATCTATTTGTACAATATAGTTGGTTGTCATCAATCTTTATGGACCAATTACCGAAGGACTGAACTACAGTATATATATTCTTCATCCAATAGACTCTGCAGCTGCCGGGTAAGTATATACAAGATCGACATCCCCGGCATGTATATCTGAACACCTGACCGAGCCTCGTCATCAACATACACATATCTATTGCGCCAACACTAACACTAAGGTCAACACAGCCTCATCTACCCGCCCTGCTCCAAAAATGACTTCATCTGCATCTCTACCCCGCAATACGACACTCGGCCCGTCCATCTCATCACATCTCACGATGACTGCATTACAAGCAAAACCACGTGGCACAATCATTAACTCCTTCCTATCTTGATGTTAGACAAGCGAACCCCCAGTCCCCCCCAACACAAACCGTCGTATCTGGTTGGTTCCACCATACGAGAGTTGAACGTTGGCCCGCTATTTTAACTTGGGTGGCCTGACCACTTCCCTCGCACGGAGGTTTTCCATCTACTTTCGTCACCATTTTCTCTCGGGGAGATATTTTCGGGGGCGGAGAGGGGCGACTGCGGGTGGAATCGCACCAAGGGTTGGGATTGAATTGATGAATGGGATTAGGACCGGGAATGTAATGGTGGGGACATGGCTTGAATTCACATGTCTTTAGACGCTGTTGGCTGCTGCTTTTGATGCTACTGGTTACCAATGGCCTATATTGTATGTATGTTGTATGCAATCCTACACGGCTAAAAATATTCGACGAATGCCTAGGAAAGCGGTATAGTTTAGTAGTATAGGATGTCGTAGTGTCGTTTCAGCTTTCAATTTCTATGCAGGATCAGCGGTGAGGGGGGGCTTTATCCTGGTTCAGTCTCAGGGATCATCCTTTATTCCATGATCCCAATAATACATCGATGTATCGAGTTTGGTAGATGAATGGTTTAGGAGGCATCTCCCGAGCTCGATGGATAGGTTTACTACACGTCTGAGAGATCATATCCTGAAGCATGGATGTAGCGCTCGTTTGTCTGTTGCCTACTTGATATACCAGTTTCCCAGTTCAGTCCACAGTGGACACAAGGCCCAGTCATCTTTTTGTCCTCTCTGGCTGGGGCTTGGGATTATTTTGTTTTAGCTATCTACCCATATCCTTGCTCTCGGTGGCTGGTCAAATAAGATGGTAGCAAACGAGGCCTGGATTATGAATTTTGAGGTATCTGGGTCAATCAAAGCAAACGCCCGACGAACGGAACCCTCTTAAAACGAGAACAAAGAGAAGTGGGGAAATGGCAAGAAGATTAATGTCGCTTTTTGTGATGGCCGTCAACAAACAAATCAGATTAGTAGTCTTCATCCGAGTCTACGTGCCCGCGGTAGCGAGACATATACCCAGTCCCGCCATCCTCGCTCGCTGAATCATCAAAGTCAAACTCGTCGTCATCGGATGACGCTTCTTCATCTGGATAATCGTTGGCGGGGTGATTTTCGGCTGTGGTCGAACAGGGTTAGCGGAAGTCTATGAGTTGGAAATGAAGAGGAAGAAGATCGAGGCAAAGGGGTAAGGAGAGGGCAAAATATGGGGGAAAATCACGTACCATTAGAGTCAGCATCCTCACTATCCCATTCCTCCTCGTCATCCTCTATAAACTCCTCCCAAATTTCCTCATCCTCGGCCGTGATGACAATGACACCCACCCCAGGCTGGGATTTGGCCATCGCCTTTTGCTGCTGATCGGATTCATATTCGGCGAGTGGATTCTTCAGCATCTCAGCTTCCGATAGCGGACGACGGACGTAAACATCGTAAACATAGTCGCCTTCGTCATCCTCCTCCACAGCCTGTTCAGTTTGCACAGAAGTCTGCAGTGGTGTAGGTGCGACTCTTGGTTCTTTGGGTTGTCGGGGTTGATATTTCAACGGGGGCTTAGGAGCGGCACTGAAAGCAGGCTGCAAAGATGCAGGCGGGGGAGGAGCTGGTCTTCCAGCGATCTGGACATCGAGGTCCATGCCATGGTCTTGGTCATGTTCTAGCTCGAGCTCCATCGCGACCTGCTCTAAATCATGGGCCAGGCGTTCGGCTTCCTGGTCCCAGCTCCTCTGTTGTGTCTGAGCGGATTTTTCCAAGGTATCAGACAGATGCTGTTTCGCAGCCGAGATGACACCCTTGCGCTCCTCGCGCCACCGTTTCTCGGCCTGGTTAATGACAGGTCGCTTGCGTGGTTTAACAGGTGACGGGGGCGTTGTATCCTGAACAAGTTCTTTGGGCTTCAGCGAGAGAGACTGTGCTTCCGCCACCAGATCCGAGACCATAGACGCTTTGCGCGAGTGCGCATTCCGCTGCAGCTGCTCGACCAGAACGGCCACACCAGGCGCCGGACCACCAGCGCGTCGCTTCTGTATTCCCCCAGGGGAACTTCTCAGGGAGTCGAGATTTGAGCGCGAGATCTGGAAGCGGCGCAGGGCTTGCGCACGGCTGGAAGAAGTCTCTACTGACGCCGGGCTGCTGTCGCGTACTGTGGGTTGACGGGTGATATCAGAGCTAGCCGCAGAGCTGGGCTGCAGTTCAGTAAAAGGATTGGGACCCCCGTAAACGGCATGCTTGTGCTTCTCTGCCACATCTTTGCGTGCAGCTATGATGCGCTGCGCTTCGCGAAATTCTGCTCCCGGCGAGGTGGCCCGCACCATGGGCACACCCATCGAGGATGCCGGAGCCCGCCGGTTTACATGAAGACTGCTTACTGAGCGCGGGCTGCGCAGGAGCCGCTGAGCGGCTGGTGTTGCTGGGGGGCTTGGAGATGCATCTGCACTCGTGCTCTCGCTAGCTTTCAGAGTGACTCTGTGGAAAACGAAGTCGGTGAAGCGCCGCTTGGTTTGGTGGAGTGCAGATTGAATGACTGCGGGGTAGGTTAGTTCTGTTGTCAATATGTTGGACGAAATTTCATAGGCAACGCTTGAATGGTTTTATGTGTCCTTTGAGATGGGATTACGTTGCAGGGGAAAATTCAAGGGGATTGCTCTCGTACATAGGGTCTCGACCGGCTCTTCCTCACGCCGACGCTTGATGTTAATTTGCTCTGGTGGAAGCGCCATGTTGTAAAGTTGGCGCAGATTTTGCTATGGCTTGTTTGGGGTTGTGGATGAGAGACGAATGGATAAGGTGGTTTGAAGCATCCAATTTGATGTGTCCGTCTTTGCCCGATTTGGGATTGGTCATCACGTGACCTGAGCATTGTAGATGTCGATGACAGATGAGAGCGAAATAAGGCCGAATGAAAACTAAGAGACTGGCTGTATATGCATGTAATATGGACTAAGCAGCACAATTTCAATCACAGATCTACGAAATGCTAGTTATTCCCTAGATCATGCCGATACAGCCTACTCAACGGTTCCAATCCTGCCCTGGTAGATAGCTGAAGATGATATTGGAGATGACATCTGGCCCGGTACATTCTTCTTGTTTCCATGTATGAAATCTAGCCGGTTTCTATTACAGATGGATGATCATTTACATTTCTAACTAATGTTCCAAGTTCAACGGGTAGATGGCCAATTCTCTGCTAGCAATAAAATCCAATAGGACCAAAGTCCCAAGTGGTCGCTATGCAATGCGATAATCACCGCCACGACTCGTCCCTCTCCATGGTCATCATCCAGTGAAACATGCAGCGTACTCACAGCCCCAGAGCAAAATAAAGAGATAGAAAAGTCAAAATATAGAAAGATGGAGAAGACTCAAAGCCAGCTAGCAATACAATGTGGTAAATGAAGGGAAGATGGCATGAAAAGGATTAATAGGGGAATAGAAAATCATTGCGAACGGAATAATTCCGGACGAAGAAATGGGAAAAGCCAAAAACAGCCAAAGATAAATAAATAAAGGAAAGGGTGGAAAGTGAATGGCAAAGAGTCCGAAGTGAAGAGATTATGACCAATACAAGAAACGAATCAGATAAAAAGGGCGGGGTGGCGGGGGGAGGAAAGACATGAGAATCAAGAAGGGACTATATGTAATAACAGACAATAATAATGTGGCATTAAGTTCACCCAGGACAATGAGCCCAAGGTTGCATGCTTCGGAGCGTGCGCAAATAATTATTTGGCCCCGATCTCCTCCTCAGCCCAGCCGGGCAGGGAGTTTTCGTTTTGAATAGCCAAGCCAAATCCTGAGTGATTCAGTCCAGCGAGGGCAGAGAAGCTGGAGAAGCTGCTCTGAGGCTGGTGCGCACCTGCGCGACTGTGACTTTGACCAGAGACCGGGCCGAAGGGCTCTTGGGAGAATGAGGGCAAGCTGACAGCTCTTGAGTGCGAGGCACGTGGCACACTAAGGCTGCTGGTGCTTGCGTGATGACCGTGTCCCGATCCATTTGCCACACTGAGGTAGCTGTTGGAGGATTTGTGCTGGTGCATAGGTGGGTCCATGTTTCCGTTTGACATGTCACCGTTGCTGACACCGTTGTACAGCGATTGCTGTGCCTGGGACTGTGCCTGTAAGCTAGCAAGGGCCATAGGGTCGTGGATATGGTTCTCCTGGTCCTGTGCCTGATGAGCGGACATCTGGTTCAGGTACATGGTTAGTGGGTTGCTCGAGCCGACGTTCAAGACCCCAGATGGAGAGGATACGTTCTGCAGCGGGTGGCGGTGCTGCCCATTTTGAGATGACCCGGATGCCGGGGAAAGGGCAGGGCGACTCGGGCTGGACTGGGAGCCAGACTGGCTGAGGTTCTGCTGGAATCCATTAAGAGCGGACGGTGGTGACTGGCCTTCCATGCCGGTTCCATTACGGTTCTGTTGTCCGTTCTGGTTGTTTCCGGCTTGACGGGGTGGGTTTCCGCAGCGGTCCTTTCCAAAGTTGATCTTGAATCGCCGGTAGTCTTCCCGATTGCGCATTCCCTCAATAGCCTTGATGGCATTGGCGATGTTTGTGAAGTTGACAAAGGCGCAGCTCTTCTCACGCAGGGTGTTCACCAACTCGATCTCACCGTACTCCGAGAAGTCCTGGCGAAGGCGTTCCTCCGTCCAGGCCTCGTCCAGGTTACCAACATAGACATTACGTGATGCACCACCGCTGACTGCTAACGCAATAGCGGGTGGAAGGGGGCCGGAGTGTTTACCCCATCCAATCTTCAGGCGTCGGTTGTGGATCATCAGCCCCTGCAGGTTGCTCAGGGCGTAGAAGGAGGCGGCGGAGGTGGGGTCGATAAATGTAACAAAGCAAATGTGCTTATCTGGGATGTATCGAACATGGTGCAGTAAGCCTCCGCGGACCACATTGCAGATCTCTTCAATGGTTGTTTCGGGGTGAATGTTTCCAAGGTAAATTGTGCGGTTACCGAGGTTGTTGACACCGCCCGCTGTCGTTGCCACAGCGGCAGCGGCAACAGACTGCTGTGCAAGCGCGTTAGAAATCAGATCCCGATCCGCAGTATTTAGCACGTGCGCATATCCAGGTGCAATTCCAAGGAACTGTGCAGCATTTTGTTGCTGAGTCTTGGACACATAAGCACAACGATCCTTGCCGTAGAACACTCGCTTTGGCGCTTGCCATTGTTGCTCCTGAGGGAGCTGGGTTACAGCCTTCATGGCATTACTGATCGACAGGAAGTGGACAAATCCAATCGCCTTCTCCTTGACGATCTTGACGGTATCAATGGGCCCAAATTTGCCTAGATCCTCCCGTAGATCATCCTCGGATGTTTCCTCGGGCAAATTTCCAAGGTAAACATTACGCGACGCACCGGACTGTTGAACAGCCAGGGCGACTGAGGTGGGGACCTGAGAAGGCTTACCCCAGCCGACCTTGATGTCATTTCCCTTGATGGCCAACTTCTTCAAGATGGCATCTGAATGGAAATGAGTGGCAGAGCTGCTATCCAAGAAGGAGATAAATGCGCAGTTCTTATCAGGGAGCAGGCGCACCGACTCAATTTGACCGCTACGCACATGGTTCAAAATCTCCTCGGCGGATGTTTCAGCCGGGATATTTCCAAGATACACGGTTCGACTGGTCCCTGACAGCATGCCTGGAGCCACAGAAGCTTGGGGGCTGCCCAGAGCCGCATTGCCCATACCTCCAAGACCATTGATCGGCGATTGAGGCCCCATCATTTGGGAGCCCATGCCGTCAGGTGACATCATTCCATACAAACTGTGGTTCTGCATTCCTTGTGTTGGGCTGTGCATATGGTTCTGGTTGTTTTGATTGTGTCCATTGCCATTGCCCTGTGAGAAGCCACCAAAATTGGCAAATTGAGGGGAAGCAAAAGCCGAGGGTGTTCCTGGTTGAAAAGGACTGCCTACTAGCAGCTGGGAGGGCAAAAGGGGGGTGTAGTTCATATCGAAGCCGGAAGCCATATCGGAGTGTTGGCCTGCGGCAGTGTTTATAGCGGGGATATTGGCGCGGCGAGAGTTCCGGTCCGAGAATCCTTGAATCGGGTTGGGATGGTTATTGTTGTAAGCTCCGTGGGAAAAGCCAGTGTCACCGTTCAACGCGTATTTAGACCCGTGAATTAGACGCGAATTATTCGGAATGTTCGATACATCCGAGGCTTGCATGGCGAGATAGATCCAAAACTTGTCCTCAGACAAGAACCTAGCCTTAGTCGGGGATGAGAGGCCCTGACTACCAGACTGAGACGCTCTGGGGGGGAAAAAGAAAAGGGAAAAAAATAAAGGGAGGATTATCAGATCACCATTCAGGAGATGACTCCACAGCCAAGATCACAGGGAAAAATAGGGAGGGATTCGGGTGGAGAAGAAAGATTATCCAAAAAAAAAAAAGACGAAGCTCAACTGGAGACGTGTCTAAATTGAAGTTCAAAAGTCAATTGGAATGTTTCATTTTCAATGAATTTGGGGAATGGGAGAACAAACCCGTCCTTTTGGTCTCTTCTAGAGAATGCCACTTATATGTATATGTCACAAATCCCCATGCAGAACAAAGTATCAAGTTTCCTGAAAGAAGGAGTAGGAGGAAATCCAGAGTCAAAGACTACAAATAGTTAGCTTCAACAGCTTAGGGGAAATACGAGTGAAGAAAAAAGATCTGAAGAAAAAAAAAAAAAAAAGGGGGTAAGACTGGGGGAGATGGGGAAGAGTTTACAGTTGACAGGCTTGGGTTGGTTTTTTTTTTGAAAAAAAAAAAAAAAAAAAAACTAGAAAAATAATCCTTAAAGTAAAGGTAAAAGAAACAGAAGCAAAAAGGGATAGAAAAAAAAAGAGCGTGAAGAAAAGGAATGAAAGGCAAGGAAGTGAATCCAGGTAAGGTATGAAGAGGGAAAAAAAAACATTAAAAGGGGGAGAGGAATAGGAGTGGGTTAAGGGGGCCGGGACACTCTCTATATTGATTTTATAGGAAGTTATATGTAATTATTCCATTGGATTTTCCATTGAGCATTGAGATATATGAACTATGTTGTATATGTACCTATAAAGAATATATGTAAAAATAAAAATAAAAACAAACTCGGTTTTCCCCAAACTTCGAGTTCCCGTGGCTCCTGCAGAACTGGATCAGGCCCTAATTTCCCATCAGATTACTATATATATATAAATATGGAGTACGGAGTACAGAGTACGGAGAAGACGTCTTTTAAATCCTCTTTTAATCTCCCTTCTCCCGGTCCCGTGACATCCTTTATATACAACAGACATTATCCAGAACTACCCCGTAACTAAATAATTACAGAACGGATGAGATGGGAGAGAAAGCTATCGATATATATCTCGTACAACATAATTACTCCGTACATCATTATAGAACGGACTGGATGGAGAGAAATATCTAAGGTTCTCACTCGGTTGGTGATCTGCTTCGAATGAAGTATATACATCCATAGATATATCTCGAATATTATAAGCCCGGATATACTGTATTATAGGTGCGTAATGGACTAATATAGATAAAGGAATGCAAGTCAGGTAATATTTTTTTTTCAACCTATAGCACTTTTATATAAATCAGCTTTGGATGAGTCAAGAAGAATATATTCCGAAAGATATCCGAGATATGGAAATGCCTCAGGCACCCGTGGGGAATCCCGCATCTATCGGAAATTTACCCCTCTACCTCAATGTGCGATTCCTTCCTGGGACAACTTGCAATTGGGAATAGATAAGAGTTCCATTTTCTGCGTATCAGGTGAGTCTGCTCTTTGTCACATTCTAATCTGTCCTGCCTGTATCCCTTGAGCTTTTTGGTGTATGACTCACAGATTAGACCCTATGCTAATTTATTATCTCTCCCACAGAACTCCCCTGCTACAACCCCAATCAATCAAAGCCTTGGGCTGCAAGGACTAGATCAAAAGTCATGTCTATCACCATCTACATCGACGAAGACGTCGGGAGAGACGAGTCCTCCGCCACCGGCACCGAGACCGCCCCCTACAAGACCCTCGTCCACGCCTACGTGGAACATCCCCCTACCACCGAAGGCATTCAGTACCTCACACGCAAGTCCCAGACCGACGCTGCTGGCGAGGATGTTGACCCCGCAGCCAAATTGGAATGGAAGCCCGCCACCAAGTCGGCAATGAAGAAGGCCAACAACCTCTGGGAGCAGCGCAAGAAGAAGGCTGCCAAGGAACACGAATTGGCCATCCGCGAGAAGGCTGAGGCCGAGAAGCGCCAGAAGGTTCTGGAGGATGCCAAGAAGGTCGTGATCAAGGAGGATGCCTCGTTGCCCAAGCCCGTGCGCATTCGTCTGGATGTCACCGATCCGGCCATCGTCAAGCTGCGCACCCCCGAGTCCGATGAGGCCGGCACCCGAGTCCGTGTTCTGGGCCGAGTTCACCGTGCCCGCGCCCAAAAGGACGTCGTTTTCCTCACTCTTACCGACGGCTACGGATACTTGCAGTGTGTCCTGACCGGTGACATGGTGAAGACCTACGATATCATGACCCTCACCCTTGAAACCTCCATGTCCATCCACGGTGAGATGCGCGCCGTGCCCCCCAAGCAGCACGCACCCAACGACCGCGAGCTGCACGCCGACTTTTTCGAGATTATCGGCAAGGCCGCCGGCGACAAGGAGGCTATTACCACGCGTGTGGCGCCGGACGCCGACCCGCAGACTCTCTACGACAACCGCCACTTGGTTCTGCGCGGTGAGACTTCCTCCTCCGTCATGAAGGTTCGCGCTGCTACTTTGCGTGCTTTCCGCAAGGCCTTCGAGGAGACCCGCATGCTGGAGGTGACACCTCCCGCCATGGTGCAGACCCAAGTCGAGGGCGGCAGCACTTTGTTTAAATTCGACTACTACGGCGAGAACGCCTACCTCACCCAGTCCTCGCAGCTGTACCTCGAGACATGTCTCCCTTCTCTCGGTGATGTGTACTGTGTGTGCCCATCTTTCCGTGCCGAGAAGTCATTGACCCGTCGCCACCTGTCGGAATACACTCACATCGAAGCCGAGTTGGACTTCATCACCTTCACTGATCTGCTCGACCACCTTGAAGATGTGATCTGCCGCGTTATTGACTACACTTTGGCTGAGCCCGAGATCGCCGGATATATCAAGCAGCTCAACCCTGACTTCAAGAAACCGTCCCGTCCTTTCCTCCGCATGAAGTACGACGATGCTATCCAGTGGCTGATTGAGCACGAAATCCCCAACGAGGAGGGCCAGCCCCACCAGTTCGGCGACGATATTGCCGAGGCTGCTGAACGCCGCATGACCGATATCATCAACCAACCCATCTTCCTGACTCACTTCCCCGCCAATATCAAGGCCTTCTACATGAAGAAGGACCCCGAGGACCGCCGCGTCACTGAGAGTGTTGATGTGCTTATGCCCGGTGTTGGCGAGATCGTCGGAGGCTCTATGAGAATGGACGACTGGGATGAGCTGATGGCCGCTTACAAGCATGAGGGCATGGACCCCAAGCCTTACTACTGGTACACTGACCAGCGCAAGTAAGTTTTGCTATCTCGCATCTTTCTTTTCCTGTTTCAATCCTTTCGTTCTATACTAACATCTGAACCAATAGGTATGGTACCTCCCCTCACGGTGGCTACGGCCTCGGTCTCGAGCGTTTCTTGGCGTGGCTGTGCGGTCGTTATACCGTCCGTGACTGCTCACTGTACCCCCGGTACACCGGCCGTTGCACCCCTTAGATATGTTAAAAGCAAAAAGAAAAAGTATAAGCGTGATCATGATAGGTATGGGAATGTGGCATTGGTGCCACAATGGACAAAGAATGAAATTTCCTTCAGATCAATTCAAACCGATTCTGTTTCTATGTTACCTACTCACAGAGTACCTAAGTAAATCTGGCTTGTCTCCCTGAAAACACGGATATCGACCTAGATCTTGCCATGTCTTGCCAGATTCTAAATAACAGCCACTGACACTATACACACACTGCAGCCGCTAGACACCGGTCTTCGACACTCATCTCTGCACCTATGTACAGTTTACCCATGAGCAGTCTTCGACATAGGATCCCCTAGGAATATAGTTTCAGATTCCAAGATGCGAAATCCCATATTCCAAACCCTTGCCGTTGAAACCCAGTCCAATACCTTGGCGCCTGTGATTACAAAACCAACCACAACGGAAGCATGCATGCGCACACCTCCTCTAACCGAGTCCCTTCTGCATAGAGGTTTGGCTAGATTCACAACACGGCTGTTCATGCGCGGCGTGACACGAGCTATCTTATATTCTGCGTCGACATCGCCCCCTGACCGGTAAATGTAAGGTGTTGTGGGTTTGTGTTGGGTTTGTGTTGAGTTTAGCGATGGGGTTGGCGTTGATGTTGGGGTTGGCTTTGGTGTTGGCTTTGGCGTTGGCGTGGGGTTTGCTATTGACGTTGCCCATGGCTACTAGTCCCAACAAGCAAGGCCACCGATGGGGTCTGGTGGTGTCGGCGATGCTGGACTGCTGCGAACTAGGATTCCGATTAGTGGGAAATAGGAAAGGGGTGTTAGGGTATGGCTGTGATCGAAGATAGGATATCGGTTTGTCATGTGTGTATAGGATAAGATTGGAATCGAGATCGAGTTGGATGAAATCCTGTCATGGTTACGGGGGATCGAATCGGCGTGGCGTCGTCCTACTGTAGTCATTTCGGGCGGGAAACCCTGTCCGTGAACCACCTTCTCCCATCATCTTCAACAGCCCCTTCATCGCCTACAGCGAACAGTGAGAGTTAGGTTAGTATGGACATTTCTTTCACAGCAAATGGACTGAGTCTTTGGACTCTTGTCCCTAGGAGATGGAGAGGGAGCGAGAGAGGAAGAGGGTCTTGGGTCTTTCTCTGCCTACAGAGGCGGACCGTGCAAGGATGGTTCTCCAGTCAATCTTTGAGATGGGTAAGTACAGCTTTTCCAAAACAGAGCAAAGCGTCGAAGTATCTCTAGCATTGGAGAGGAAAGAGGAGCGTCTGCGTCTACAGGAAAAGAGGCGCGCAGCGCAAGGGTGATCCACTACACCCTGAGCTTCCATTGCTCGAAACCGCACGGAGATAGAATCCGTGAGCCCACAGGGACTCCCATTCCATTCGACCCCTTCGAGAAACACCCAAGTAGCCCTAGGTCTCTAGTAACGGATATTCCGCTTCCATTGTCTGAAGGTCGAAGGAGCTTGAATAGAAAACTGTCCGTTGGATCGGGTACATCGTATAGACGCGCGTAACGTCGACGGCGTACTTGTCCCCCGTTTTCATCTTTCTGTTCCGACAATCATATCCCAATGGCAGACAGATGCAGCTCAATCTCGGTTCCGTTCACCCACACGTCCCGCGTTTGAATCGTCGATCTTGATGTTGTTCTTTTTCCACTTCTCTTTTGTGTTATGTCTCATCGCCAGGGTCAGTTTACCCATGCCCCGGCTGGTGAACTTGCATCGGGTTCCACACCTATCGTTGGTCGTATGCCCCTCCCTTATACCGGGGCTTGGTAAGTATTTTTCAACTTGACATCCAGGCCGCCTGAAGGCATACAGCCGTTCCATATTAACAAGATCACATTTGTTGGTTGAACAACGCCTGATGTCATTGCCACTGGGTTCGAATACTTTTCTTTTTCCCCTTTTCTTGCTCCTTGAGTTGGACACACTCTTTTACCTTTCCTTTTTAACAACCCTATTCATTGACATCCCGGGCAATATCTAAGGCGAAATCACATATAACAAAACACAACACTCCAGATGTTCAGATCACGTAGGGCATAATACCCCAGCAAAGAATATGAACGTGAAAAAAGGTGTCATGAGCTATATCGTCTTACCACACGACGTGCAGCATTGAAATTGTCTTATGTCTTTATCGAGGCCTAGGCAAAGAAAAAAAGAGGGCACTCTCATTTTTGTTCTCCTATGATCAACATATGAATGGTTCATTATGTCAACAACTCTCATTTCAACCTGGATTTCTCTGTGCCACGTCCCCGGAAACAAAAACAAAGAACAAATGATCACCGAAAGTCAAAAGTCGAAAGCCGAAAGCTACCAACCACAGCGCAGCTTCGCATTGCAAGGTTGAAAGCTGAAGAGTGCGACGTCAGCTCTCGTCCCGGACGCGTTGAAGGGCGATGTGGATCTCCTCGTTCGACGCCCCGGATCGAATGAGCGAGACGATCCGAGCGACGGACTCGCTATGAGCATCACGCATGACGGAGACCAAATCTTCTAGAAACTTCCGGTAGTAGTTCAGGTCGGATTCCTGCTGGCGGATCTGTTCAATGCGTTCGGGTGAGTAGCTGGCATGTTGGCTGTGGGGAGGTCACGGGGTCTCAGCTTTTGATCATCCATGTGTTGCTGGAAAGAAGCTTATTTACGGGCAGATGCGATTGGGAGGGAGAAACAGGTGAGATAGGTGAAAGAGGTAAGAGAGAATGGAGGTTTTTCGTTGCAAGCTGGGCGGGAAGATGACTACTCACCTTGCATTCTCCCTGCCTGCCGACTCGGTCTGGCGATTTCCGTTGCGGTCTGCTGGAGCTCCGTGGCCGTGGGAATTGGCTGTGGTACGGTCCGACATCTTGGAGTGGACTGTTTCAGGTGTGATTTCAAGGATTCTCTCCTATGTTGGCAAGGGTTTGGGGATGGTCTTGGCTATCGTGCTCGTAGCTGATCATGTGAGGGTTCTTGGTATCCTCCTGCGTCTACCTATAAATACCACAACTTCATAGCGGTCAACAAGTAGACTACTGGCGTTGGGCTGGGGATTGATAAATTCTAGTGAAAGGACGGGGGCGAAGGGCTCAAGAAAGCGAAGTATGGATATTGACCAGGTATGAGGGGTGGGGAGGGGGGAAAGCGGTCGGCCATACGTGTTTATAGACAAGTGTCACCCAACTGGGAAGTAGATAGCCTGATACATAGAATTCGTAGAAAGGTGGGAAGATGGGACTTGACGGAACTCGAGAGGTCAAAGAGAGAAAGGTGGGACCTTTAAAAGAAGGTATTTGGGGAAATACCCTAAGCAGATTGCCGCCAGTCTAGTTGGTCCATATAAGGCCGAAAAGACCTAGGGCGAGAATTATCAGGCCCGGTATAGTTCTGAGCTAAAGCTCTTGACCCTGTGCCTTTGATGAACACATTCACCTGGGAATTTCTGCAGAAAATTAACCACAAATTTGAAAAAAAAAAAAAAAAAAAAAAGGAATTGCATTGTAGTTGTTCACGATTCTCGAGACCTCGAATGGGGCCACGGATAAAACTGCCGACCAATCGTCGGTCGTGTTTTGCTCCACGAACGTTCAAGTATCATATTTGAACTAACTTAAGATCATGTTTTTCTTGTGTCTTGTTTTTTTCCAGCTTTTGTAATCTGGGCTCAGATCCCGGTCTGTGATTCGCTGGAGAATTGTTGCGAACTTGCGGCCCTGTAATTCGCATTTGTGTTCGCATCTGGATTCGAGTTTGCTGAGGGCTCTCTGTCGGATAGAATCTTGATTTCAAAGAGGCGAGACATTCCTTCTTGCATTATGTGGCGACTTTGGACTTTCTGCCAGAAGTAGTTTGTCAAAGTCGCTTAGTGGCAATGCTTTGCACATTTTCTCTTCTAAATAGATCTCGGGAGACAGGAGCAGCCAATTGGGACGGCTAGCACGTTATCCGCGGTTAGACTCGAACCAACTGCACGTAAACTGACTGCAAGTTTAGTAAAGATGGAATCCAACCATCTATCAAGATGGTTCGTTTGACTTCGTGAACCCTTCACTATGTCTCGGAGTTGAAGGTGTGAATTCAGGTGGATAATCTGGAGACGCTGGTCTCTCGTCCAGTCACAACCCGAACAGTCAGTCTCCTTAGACACACCCGGGAACTCGGGTTCTGTTTGCTTTCAACCCGAAGGAAACACATTGAAGAGGTAAAGTTCTCTGTCTTGTCGAGACGTGATTCAGCTTCCGTCTACGGACAGAAACTGCGTGCTGACTCGCTCTTTCCGTTCGGGATCCTTAGCGCCTTGCGGTTGCCAACGTCGAGATTCAAGATTCCTGTTCCTTCTCCTTTGATGACAATCGAACCCCCCATGTCCATCCTGTATACAATAATGGATAATCGACCGCACCTATAAAGCTGAGCACGTTTGGCTCTACTCGACGTCGCATGATCCGAATATTTCGTTGCCGGTACCACGACATCCGAAGTTCGAAACGTGAGCATCACGCCTTGAATGTCTTCTGGGACCATCTAGGCCTCGGTTGTTAGCCGTCGAAAAGCAAAACAAGGGTGTTATGATAACCTGGCTGTCCGGTTATGGATGCCATGGGCGCGGCTGGATGGGAGGGTCGGTTCATCAACACTCCGCGATGTTACACAGTGTGACAGGGTCTGGGCATTGGACCAAACACCCCAATTCAAAACTGTGACATGGAACCAGCATTTGATGTTGAGTCTGGCGTTAGTTTGTCCACGACAAACCACCTGACTCAATCCCTGGCTTGAGACTGCCTTCTATGCTTCTCTGAGGGTGTGCAATGGCATGTATCCTTTCTATCAGTTTCCCGTTATTGGCCATGCGGAAAAGCTCATCAGTGCCGCAGGATATCGTGTCTTGAACCCAACGGACCATCTCAGCTGTTTCCATTATCGCCTCCGCCGTCACGTCCGGGGTATTTGAGGGGTTTTTTCTAGGGCATTTGGGCTCCGTAGAGGTGTTTCTTCGAACAGTAACGGAGGCAAGAACAAGGTTGGAACGAAAATAAGTGAGCGGTAGTACGGTATGGGCCATAACCACCGTCGCCAAACCATACGTTATGAACGTCGTCGTGGGTCGTCTCCGTTCATCAGTTATGCGGTATATGTCGTCCCATGGCGGTTCAAATCAAAGGTATGATGTCTGTTGACCTTGCAACCTATCGAAAAGTCTGTGTTTGAAGACCGTCTTCGGGTCAGATGTCAACTTGACCGGAGAGTCTCATGGCCACAGAGCACAGAACGTCGTGGTAATCTGAATCAAACGCAACAAGGGGAGTATTGATCGGTGATTCGAGGTCATTTCAATCGGGGCACGGCGAAGACTGCTTGGGTGTTGTCGGGCTTTCGGTGGGAGTCGTGATGGGCATCGACGTTGGCTTATTTACACGGTGAAGATGTGCCATACTGTTTCCTCGGCATCCTGGAAATAGGCAACGCTGTCTTCATCCACTGCAATTTGTGGCTGGCTACCGGCCTATCTGCGTTAGTAATTACACAGCACGGTCGGTAAGCTGCCCCAGGACCATTTGGTCAGCTCGATGCATAACAGACGCAGTTTCTTCCTGTGGTCGTTTCCCCATTGATGTGAGACTTTCTTATAGTGACTGTGATGTGCCATGGGAGGGAAAAGGTGAGATTTAGGAGATAAACAGGTGCGAGGTTTACCCACCTCGAACTCTAGCTTGATCACTCAATCAGGGTCGATCCCTTTGATTCATGTAAGAACCCCTATCACCAGGCGACGTCAAATTCCGTGGAAAACCTCATCTCGAGGGTACACCTCGAGATTATCCATTTGCCATTTCTTCCAAGACATAAACCATCATAAGGGAGGTCAAAGTCTTCACCTTGCCCAAGGGGAAGGAAGACAGAGGGAAAGCCCTATCATTCACCCCGTGCCGCCAATTGGATCCACCTGCCGTGAGGAAAATAGTTCCTGGCGAGGCTATTGGGGGGGGGTCCACTGGCGCCAACGTTGAAATACGCAATGCGCATCAACCTCGCGTGTTACGATGTACACTGGATAGAAATTTGGAATCCGGACTGTGCTCCACCAATAGTCGAGGACGTTAGCATTTGTTGAATCGAAGTGTTGGATATGAAGCCTGGAGAGCACCTGTGATCGGGCCAAAGCAGATTTTCTTCACGGTCCAGATCTCACGACTGGCCACCAATGCAGCCGAAACCGACAATAACAACAGAAACTAGAGCAACGCTCTTCATATTGCTCTTGGTATGCATACCCACTACTGTTGTGTGCAGTTTGACCTCGAAAGAATCGTACGTGGTCGATGGTTGGTCAGAATCCATCCGTCGGCTCCCAATGTTCTTAGTCCACCCGTGAACTGAAGTTGCAGCTTGCCACCCAGAGTTGGTCTAGTTTGTCTCTTTCCATCTCGTTCGCTTTTCTTGACGATATGTTGTTACTCAGGTTATCCGTGGCTTGATCAGGGTGCATTTCAGTGGCAGAGAGGCAAACTAATTATATTCACAATAGAGCGAGATATGATTCAAGACTTTAAGTAGCATGTGATGAGGGGAGGGTGAGTCAGTTCTCATCATAGCCATAATCCCAGTCTCAGTCTCAGCCTCTCAGGGCATCAACTCCCTTGAGTCCAGAGAGAGAACTTGGAAACTTCCCAGGAACCTTGGAACTGGCGCCTCTAAGGGATTATGTAAAAGGATTACATGAACATGACAGGGCAGGTGACATCGAGATTCGACATCGAGTTTAGCTTCCCAGGTTTCTTGTACCATGGCAGCCACTTTACTCGATACGTGTTTACGATATCTGAGGCAGTACAAGCATCTTGCTCCAGGGGGTTTGACCCTATTGCCAACTTACAATGTGCACCAATACTTACACACGTGATGTAATCCCACTCATCAACCTTGGAAGACACACCGAAATTCAGTGGCTCGTTTTATTCACTTCCGCGAATCTTGGTATGAAGACATGAGCCCAGCTCATACATCTCGAGGCTTGAAATTAGACGCAAGAACAGCAGTCGACTGTCAGCCAGACAAAACCAACGAATCCATTTCTGAATTCAAGAGGTTCACCTTCATTGATTGATATCCCATTTCATATAAGTGTTATACAAAACTTTTGTTGTGCACGCCACATGATTACATTCCACAGCCACGTGAAATTGCCACCAACGCGATACACAAACACGACCCGCCACCAGCTCCCTGTTCCTGGTATGTATATGTACACGTGAACTCCTTAGAAACCCCGTCCTGCGCGTTCATTGTATATTCGCATCCGCCAAAAACGACAATCAACAACAACACAACGCACTGCCATTTATACATATCAAAACACAGAAAAGAAAAGAAAACAGCTTCAACTGCAAGAGTCAAAAGACCAACTCAAACATGTATATTTTCTCCCCTCTGCGAAATTCGCCCATGAAACGAAAGATCGCAAACACATTGACAGAGGCTCGAACAGCGACCAAACCTAAAATCAGAACTAGGTCTAGAACTACCACCACACCCATAACGGAAATTTCAAATATACGGGGGCAAGTATGGTGACAACTATAAAGACTATCAAAACACAACCCCAAGCCTTCACGCCACAATCACACACATGACCTGCCCCAAGCTCCAGTTCATTGAGCTCCTACTCCTCGGACGACTCATTTCGAGGACCCCATATATCGGGCGACATCGCGCCAATGAACCCATCGAAATCTGATTCTCAGGTCCCGCCTAAGTACTTCTTCAAACATCAATTCCCCAAGGATGAGGGTAATTTCTTATGGAACCTTATATAAGTGCTTATTTTAGTTTCTGCGTATGAGATATCGATACACATCATATTCATTTGTTATAGGATATCTATGCATAGGCTACGGGCTACCAGTGCTTACTATTCGCTTTGCACGGAGGCTGTCTGTAAGTCGGGCAAGGGCGCTATATGTACAGTTTTACTTCTTCTGATATCTAGGGCTCAGGTGTAGATGTTGGATTTGTTTGGCCATGAGATCTGCTTTCGGTGTCTTTATTGTTCATGAGGCAGATGAAACGAATCCCACAGGTCCCAGGGCGTTCTTTCTCCATTGTTTCAATTGTCTTCATAGGGTGTTTTTGCCTATTGGTGTTGTGCCTATCAGAAGTTATACATAGAAAAGTCGCTTGCATAAAGTGAGCCTTTTCCGCCTTTTTCTGCAGTCTACCTAATAACACTGGAAAGGCGGGCTTGGAGGTATTTAAGAAGCTCGCCGAAAAGAACTCTGAAAAGACCGCTGAAAAGACCTGTAGGACATCGTAAAGCCGCATAGCGGCCGTTTACTCTTGTTCATTATACCAAGTAATCTTGGAAGTAGACCACGGCGAACTTTCATTGACAGACTGGGATTGACGATTAGCCCTAATTTCGGCCTGAACCCAACTACAAATACACAGATAAGCACCCTACACCTTTTGGCCCTAGATCTTCCGGTAGGCTTATCCACAAATAAATAAGCTTAATTCAAGGACTAGACTATGTAATGTGTTTAAGTGTTACCGAAATAATTTTATCCCGGTGGGATAGATGGAAACAAATTCCAAAAGCTTCATTTGATCTAAATACCAGTGATATCCGCATTAAGAAATCTATATTTGATGGTATAAATAGTATGGAATAAAATAAAAAGCAAAGTCCATCATATCATATCATTTTCCACGCTGAAAGATTCACAGCTCGCTTATACCCAAAATTCAAAGAAAAGAAGAAAAGAGAAGCATGGGGGGAGAAATGAACCGAGAGGAAACCAAGGAAAGAAAAGTGAGCAAAGATATGCTCATCCCATTTATCTTCTTTGTTCAATTCAGTTTTTCACATAGGTATCAGCGGACCGGCCGCTGATACCCCGCGCCATAGAGATAGGAGCAGAGCGTTTTTTATACGAACCATCTTCCCACACAGCACTGCTGGCAGGGAAGATAGAGCCACTGTCCGAGACACCGATGGGGCCGAGATCCTCATGTGCAGAAGCAATGTGTGGGACGACCAGCTCGACGCCCTTGCTCACGCTCGTACCGGAAAAGTACGGGTTGTGGCGCGGGGGAAGAGGCCGGGCCTCGTACATGCTGCCGAGGTAATCGGAGGCGGTGCTGCTGAAAGACGAGGCCACGGTGGACGGGGTGTTCGTCAGGCCGGGGACATTGCTGTAGCCGTGGGCACTTCCGGTCAGGGCGGGAAGGCTGGAGCTGCTGCGCTGGACGGCGGGCCGGGAGAGCATGGGCTCGCTGGTGCCGCGGTGGAACTGAGATAGGTAGTTCCATGCGTCGGAAGATGCCAGGGATGAGGCGCTGCGGGCTAATACCGGCTTCCACTCTGTGGGGTCGAGATCTGACTTGGCATCATGCACGTGGTTGGGTATCCGCATGGTTGGAATTGAGTTGCTTGGCACCCTGGTTGGGGTCAAGGGGGCCACGATAGTGCGTGGAGAGAGAGGAGGAGATGTGGGTGGTGTAGTAGTGGAAGACATTGAGGTCATAGATGGTAATGATGCCGAAAGTGGTTTGCGAGAGTCTTTGCGGCGGCAACTGTACAGATGAAAGGAAATGATAAGTATTCGAGTACTGAGATATTATGCAGGCCTCAAACAAAGATCTGAGAATTGGGAGAGGAAAGGAGAGGATATCAATGGCTCTAAATATAGGCCGGGGTGTGCCACATACCTTTCGCTACAATATAACAAGGAGTTGTTGGGGACAGTAATCTGGTTCTCGCACATAGCACTGGAATTGGGTCAGCTTTATGTTGAAGAAAAGACCGGTGTATCACAAATGACGGCAACAGGCATGTGAGAGAAATAATCCCTGCAAAAATAAGAGCTTTGGATTGACATACCAAAAGTTCAAGAAGCTGGCCATGTCAAACTCAGTATCGTCCGAAGACGTAGATGGCTTACTCGCTCCCCTTTGTCCTGAGCCTAGTTTGGTGATGTTGGGACCAGATGTACCTCGTCGATGTAAAGCTGGACGAGTAGGCTTAGGCTTAGCGACATGAGGAGTGGAAGGAGAGCGGCGGTGGAAGGGGGCTGTTTGAGTCATTTGTGGCGGTGAAAGCATTCAAATGCCTCACTATCTTATCAAAAAAGAAGACTATCGAGACTGGATCAAGTGTGGAGCACAAGAGCCCCTGAGGGAGCACAGACTGAGGGATTTGTGTTGAAAAAGGTGATGATTTCAACTGGAATGTGCCGGGCCGGTGTAATTGGGAATACAAATGCTTCGAGGAAGAAACACCGGAGTATGTATACTGAGAAAATGAATGAATTCACTGATAAGATGTTAGCATCTGACACACGTTCTCTTTTTGCAGACGGGGACCCCAGGGCTATCTTTAGCCTGTGAGTGGGGGGAGATAAGAGCAAAACAGGCCCTGAAGGTCCTAAAGATAAAGAATGACATACCAGTTTATAGGTACCTAGGTATCAAATTGATTTAAGATTGTTTAAGACTGAGGAAAAAGACACAGAATGAAGAGAAGGGAATTGGAATATAAATATCCATATAAGAGGGAAATTCTAGCCCTGAAGATAAAATAGAGAAACGTGCTGTTGCGGTAGGATGAGACGATCACGTCTAGACTCCGTTGAAACAGATGTACCCTGTAAGTCACTTCCGATGGGCCCCGACGCCATGATGCACGCTTAAGAGTACTTCCCGGGTACTTCCCGGGCACATCCCGAGGCCCGAACACGCAATCCCCGATCTAGACCAGCTGAGTCACCAGTGACGATAGAGCTTTTTCTATAATTAACCGGCTTTTTTTCTTTTTTTCTTTTTCTTTTTTCCTCGCTTTTGTATATACAACTTACCTCCTGAATCCGATTGAATCGGGATTATCTTCGTGTGTACCTCCTTGGGCCTGAAACGCACAGATGTAGATAGTCCAACATATCTTCTGCAGTGCAGTAGTGCATTAGTGCGCAGGGACCATATCTCCGGAGGGGGTCGGATCTGGCGTGATCGGTAGATTTACATTCTTAAGAATCTCTACCTCAGTATGTACAATTCACTCCGTAGTACGGAGTGTATACATTGATACCATATATACCCTGGAAGAACTACATTCTAAATGACGCCATAAATCCCTCGAATTGAACTATTTCATATATTACCATATGGCGTGAACAGGTGGGTAGGAATACATCATTGCCCCCTGTTTACTCCCGAGGTCCGCACATAGGTTTGTACCAAAGTCGTGAAGATAATATACAGAATTAAAATGGCCGGCTACGGCGACAGTGAAAATAGATCGAGAATCTCAGTGGGGTTGATATATGAAGTGCCACACTCCGTACGTCGGCCTATTACGATAAAATGTTGGGGCCTCGTCACAGATCATTCCAGGCCTTGCACATCGTCGATCCTCCGTGTTTCGGGTCCATGGGGGAAAACCGGGGCTTTGTTTCGAGAATCCCGAGGGTCCCCAGTCTTTACCTTCAGATTTACGTTGAGACTCCTTTTTTTTTTTTTGTTTGAGACTTTTTTTCCCCCTTACCCCTTTGCGTTCCGTCGGGTACCGATGTGGTTCCTTGGATGAACCAGGTAGGGATATAAAACATCACAGGGCAAGCTGAAATTGATTTTTTCTTATAAATTGTGGGCCAGGTGACATCTGTCAACATAGAATACATCATCTGAAGCTTGGACGAACTCTGCTGTGATGCTGACATTTAGGGTCTCGATTTCTTGGGTATCTACAAATAATTATGCTTTATCAATCTCCATTGGCTCTGGTGCTCGAGTCCCAGCCGGAGTGGGTGTCGAAGGAACCTCATCGAGAGCCATTTTGTCCTTCCCTGTGATCGATTCGGCTCCCTCATCCCTGTCGATCGGTAGTCTTACTGTACCTGGGCCCGGCTTGCCTGTAAATCGCTCAGGTACTCCACGGGCAGCCTCGGCTGGGCCGACAAAGCATCCAAGCATCGAGCTCCAGATATACCCTTCTGATAGCAGACGACGGATCTGGCCATACGCGTATGAATTTGCGTAAGGAAGAGCAGTCTCTGGATCGCGGTAACGCGAAGGCAATGAGGTGATGACGCAAAGCGATGATGAGATTTCTGTTGTGTGAGGTTAGCCTGAGAGAGTCCTAACAAATCGAAAATGAAACGTACTGGTCAAACGAGCAGGCTTCTTGGCGTTGAAATACATGCTGTATTTACGATGGTTGGCGGTCGCATAATCAAAGTTCTCCAATATTGTAAGAGTGCGTCCCGTATGTTCAATCACTGGAGGGGGCTCTGGAATCTCAGGTTGCGCTGGTTCCTTCACTATTCCATTTGACAATTGGGATTCAGACTGTAATGTGGATGGTTGGTTTAGGCTCTGGGCTGGAGCATTTTCGGGCACCGTGGCTTGACTAGTTGCTGCAGTGGCCGGAGAGGCTTCAGGGGCCTGTGCAATTGCAGGGCTGATAGTCGTGGCTGATTCAACTGGCCGAGATATGTCCACTGGTAGCTCTGGGGCAATCGCCCCAGCAGCATGTGATAAAGGGGTCTCTACCGGAATCGGTTGGACACCAGCAACGTGTGGAGTGGCCAAACTTGCCTGGTCTGTTGATTCTGGAACTTGATTAATCTTGGCAAAATCTGCACCCGCTACAGCCGCTGGGGGTTGATCAATATCCATGGCATCGTCGTTCTTGGTGGGGGAGTCAGGCAACCTTCGAGTAGAGTCATTGCCCGCAGAATGCAATGTATGACAAGACGCTGGAATTTCCACAGCAAAATTTTTCTCCGGATGTTTAGACAACTTTGAAGATTGCCTTTCAGAGGTGGGCTCATCTCGCGCAGAGGGTGGTACTAGTGTATCTGGGTCAACCCCTGGAGCTTGATTTTCCACGGCATTGTCCTTGCTTTGCTCGACAGGAGTTTTCATGATTGCCTTCGTCTCTGAAGGGTTTGCATCTGATTGGCTGACGTTCGGCCCAGAAGACACTATGGGGGTGTCTGCATTATCTGCAGTCGGAGCTGCAGGCTTTTCGGGTGGCTTATTTTCAGGCGATTTCTGGTCTAACATGGAGGTGGGAGGTGGAGCGGAATTTGCTGGACTAATGGTCTCAACTGCATGGAAGTCTGGTGGTGGTTGCGATGTGGCTGTGGTAGAGGCAGGGGCGGATCCAACGATACTTGCAGATTTCAAGGACTTTGACTCTGCCGCAGCCTTCTCTTTATCTTCCTTTTCTTTTTTCTTCTTCCTCGATTCTTCTTTATCTGGCTTTGGTTTGATGTCGATTTTGCCCACCCGTGTGAGCCGGCCGTTCGTCCATGTAGCTACACCACTCCAGTAGGAAATCACCGGACCATCAAGACGGCGGTTTTGTAGTGCTTCGATCCTCGCGCGTCTTTCGTCCGCTTTTCTTTTTCCGACAGCTCCCAGCGGTTCAAACTTTTGCTATTGAGGCGTTCTACCCTTGCAGCCTCCGCAAGATGATCTTCCTGGGTCATCTCTTTCGGTTTTAAATGGGCCTTCCGCTTCTCTGCCTCCTTCATTGTAGCGATTATGCGGACTCGTTTTTCCTGGCTGTCCTTAAGACGAGCATGCGTAAGCTCCTTATTGACCATGGTCTGTCGACGCGATGATTGCCGAGTAGGCCCATCCTCCACAGTGGGAATCCACGATATGCGCTCTGACTTTTTCTTCGGACGAGGGGCGGCGGCCATAGAGGATGGCGCGGTCGGATCAATCTTAACTCGTTTGCGCAATGTCTGAAACCGGAGGTCATTCTGGGCTCTGCGTTTCTTGCGCTCATCTTTTTGTAGCTTTTGTTCACCCTCGTAGTCGTTCTGCGCGTTCGGTCCTTGGTCCTCATCCTCGTCTGACGATTCAAGCAATTCATCCTCTGCATCCGGGTCTACCTCATCCGCAAACTCATTATCGTCTTCGACTTCCTCAAAGAGAAGCGCCAGGTCATCATCGGCAGCGGCCTCAAGGAGAGCAGACATGTGCAGTCCCGCCGTACTCCGTTTCGCGCGTCCACTGACCAAGGATTCTACCGGCATCTCTTCTTCCTCGGAAGATTGTAGTCCAGACGATGGGTCTTCTTCCATAATGTCGGCCATGGTGTTACTGGGGTGGCAGGTGCCTTAAAAAGGACGATTAAGCATCAGAGGCGAGAAGGGGACACGCGCGCGGGACCAACTATGAATCGCGTGTCAATGATCAGCAAAAAGTTGGAAAATTATAGCATGTAAAATGTGGAATCTGCAATTCAAAATGAGCTGTTGAAATGGTGGAAGGATACCGTTACGGGCAAGTTGGCAAGGAGAGTGGCTTGACCCGGTAGTGGCGCGAAAGAAAAGTTGGTGCCTCAGGTGAGCACATATGATCTGGCCAATGATCTCAACTAACGTGTTTACTTCTCTACCTTGAAGCAACGACACAAGATTCCTCTGATAGTTTATCTAGTGCTACCCTCATCGCATACTGATACCACTCAAATATTCTCTCAGAGACGATCATTGATTCTATCATGTACTCCGTGCCTGTACCACGATGCCTTGAACCTGCCGGTTCTTCCGTACCGAAAGCTTCTGGAAGCTTGGCGAACACCCTGAAGATCCAGAAAGCACCCTGTACTTCAAGCTAGCAACCGGCAGATCAAGTCTAGTCTGTTTACGTCTCTAACGCACAGCCACCGTGACCCATCCAAGACGGTTCCAAGCCTGACGCCTCTAGGAAGGAGGACCTGTACCTGAGCCATATCCCTTGCGCGCATCCAACAGTCTTTTCAAAACATTGGTCAATTCTGCCTAGATGACCGGTTGCATCATATCTTATATGCCCAGGTATGTTTGATGTGAATGAGCTTCCAAGGTCCATCAATATACAACATATCCAAGGATTCAAGCGTTGAGGCATGACGCACTGGAATGCGGGGCTTTTTTTTCGTTTCCACTCTGGTCTCTTTAGGGTGCCATGAGCGCTTTTCTTCCGAGAGAAAGCTTTTTGAGTTGTACTTTTATGGATATGGGGTTATGAAGCCCCCGATATTTGTACTGAACGTATACCTCTTGAGATGATTTGCCATGTCTAGCGAAAACAGATTCTCCGAGACATCCAAATGACATCGATGGGGCCATTGCCAAACGCCTGGAGGAACTGCCGATTCCCGATATTTGCTCCCGTAAGATGAAACAGACCTCAAGTTTAGATGTCCAGGTACTTGTGTTGGATATCTCAGAACTCGATAGAAAACGAAACCAGCCAATATATAAAGTAAATAGATTCAATTACATTCAATCATTCCATATCTCAAACCAAATTTCATCTGAATCAACAATCGAATTGTGGGTGAAGCTGGAGGGCCCTCCACCAACCACAGCCATCTTCCTCGGGCATCCGGCCAGCTCCCCAACATCTCTCTTCTCCTTCTTTTCTTCTCCCCTTCTCATCCTCCCTTGACTTTGCCCTCACTTCTCTTTTATTTTTTTCTTTTGATTTCTGCATTCTTAGGGTGAATTCAACTTTTGGTTAGTGTTGAAACACACTCTCGGAGCGCAACACTAATTCACTTCCAGCCACCTCGATCCCTTTGGACCCGGATCATCCTTTCCATCTTTGATTTCTCAACTCGACGCACTCTGTGCCAGACCATCCTTGTGAATTTGCCGTATTTTTTTGAGCCTTGGACGACCTTAGAAAAGGACTTGTCCTTTTTTTTTCCCGCTTCAGCTCAACTCGATTACTTTCGGACACCCGCAGATTGTCATACACCCCGAGTAAACGGTGAGATTGTCATCAAAGACCCCCGACACAGCACAGTGATTCCTGCATGTGGAACGAATTGCTTTTCGAAATATCCTCACGATTCATCTCGACTTTTTGGGATTGCTATATCGACCCCTCCCACTTTGCGAACCCCCTCAATAGCCAAAACACGTATTTTGAACACCAACTAATTTCGACCTCTATTTCCAGTGTGCGTCCTTGATTCCTCGGTCTATCCTTATTTTCATTTTTCTTATTCCACGCCTTTGAACGACAAAGCTCATCTAAGTCCCGACTTTGCTCCATTTTGGGATTCGCGCGGTGGTTATAATTTGGAAAAGATTCGGGCACTGCCCTATCGAAGGCATAAAGTGATAATCCATAATGTTGCCGGTTTCGCGACCTGACGGTCAGATGAATTTCAATTACATCCCAACTACCCAACCCATGTCGGGTACCTCGACGGGGCGCAGCTCTCCCAGTGATCTGGCAGGGTCTGGCAACCCAAGAATGCCATTTGGACCTTCTCCGGGGTCCATTGGCAGTTCGAGGCCGGGGGCTGGCTCCCCATCTCATGATTTGGCATCACGTCTATACTCGAAGCGGTAGGTTTGCTTCCCGTGGGATATAAAACCGCGACAACTAGCTGACACCTTCACTCTTCCTGTAGAGCCCGTGAAATTCAAGCGCAAGAAGGCATTTCTCCCAGTATCTGGGGGCCCCCTACTAGCGGTCATTCAACCCCGCTTCGCGAGAATATCCCCGAATCCCCGGGTCAAGATAGCTTTCCCGATTTGATTCCCACCACCAATGGCTCCATGGACAGCCCTGGCCGCCGAGCCCGCGCTGGAACAGTCCCATCTCGTTTCCCTCCGATGGGAACCCTGAATGAGGTGGATCTTCAGCAGCCTTACATGCCGCAGACCTCGCGACCCACACCCTCAACTAGTCCTTTTAGGCCCCCCGGTGTTTCTGGGATAGATACAAGTTCTAAGGTTGCGAGTTCAACTGGGGTGCCAAATCCGGCATCGCTATCCCGCCTTCGAGCTGGCTCGATGCCGCAGAGGGGCAACTTTTTGGGAGGTGGCGGCCCCTTCGGCCCATCATTGTTTTCAACCAACTGGTCGACGGGTCGTGAGAGAGCTACAACTTTGACTAGTATTCGATCTTCGGAAGGACCGACTTCGCCCAGCCACTCTTCTTTCTCGAGAGATGGACTCGCGGACACCGATGTGAAGACTTTGGATTACTTAGGGCTTGCAGAGACCCCGCAACAGGGAATGGCCTCTCTTGCACGTCCCTCAATGGAAGCGTTGATGCAACAGCAACAGCAGCAACATCAAGCTTCTGCGCTGCCGCCACTCCTAGCCGAGCTGGCAATGATGAAGAACAATAATCGATTCCGATCATACTCTGTCAATGCGAAGGAGAAGTACGCAGATGACGAGGATCTTGAGTATGAGAGCCGTTACTCCCAACTTCCCTCAGGCACTATGACGCCAACCGCCGCTGCAACCGCCGCGCAACTTGCCGCCACACAGGCCCAGATTCACCAGCATAATCTTGCTGTCCAAGCTTTTGCCAGCCATGCCTCTGTCAACAGACCCAGGGCACGAACTGCTGGCATTTTGGAGGCACCTCCCCAGCGATCGTCGATCCGCAACTACCTTGCCACGCCCTCCCGTCTTGACAACAGCTTTAGTGCTGCTGACCTGCAGATTCCTGAGAATGGTGAATACGATGAATTGTCCGAGGCAGTTCAGCTGATGCATCTTGGTGGAAACGGTATTACCGCCATGGTTGGCCGACAGGCCAACGAGATGGTAGATGAGAACAACCAGGATGGACCTACCCGGGCCCTTTGGATTGGTAGCATTCCCGTGTCCACTACTGTCACATCTCTAGAGGCCATCTTTGGAATGTATGGAAAAATCGAATCGACCCGTGTTCTCACTCACAAGAATTGCGGGTTTGTCAACTTCGACCGCCTCGACAGCGCTGTGCAAGCTAAATCGCTGCTCAATGGCAAGGAGATCTTCCCAGGCGCAGGTCCCGTTCGAATTGGTTACGCCAAGGTTCCTGGTGCATCGGCCACCGGTACTCCTGGTGCAAATGGCATCCAGTCGTCTCCTACTCCTGATCCGAACTTTAAATCCAATCCCGCAGCGGCAGATGGGACAGATCGAGCTGACAACAGTAGTGCCGTCCCTCAAATTGCCGCTCTGGCTGATCTGTTGCCTGAAATGGTGCAAATCGTGCAAGAATTCGGCGCAAGTGAAGATGACTTGAAGAACATCACGGCAAGCATCCAGACTTCCATCGCGTTCCAAGATTTCGAGGATGAAATTCCCTCGGTTCAGGAAACGAGCCAGTCGCGCATGTTTGACGCCCCTCGTCTACGTGACATCCGGAAACGCATTGACAATGGCGCATGCTCTATTCAAGAGATTGAGGAGACTGCCGAGGCCATGCTTCCTGAGGTTGCAGAGCTAGCGTCCGATTATTTGGGTAACACTGTAGTTCAGAAACTGTTTGAATTCTGCTCTGAATCCACCAAAGAGAAAATGCTATCTCACATTGCCCCCCATCTCTCCGAAATTGGTGTCCACAAGAATGGAACTTGGGCTGCGCAGAAGATCATTGATGTCGCGAAAACTCCTGGACAGATGCAGTTGATTGTTGATGCTCTCCGCCCTTATACCGTTCCTCTTTTCTTGGATCAGTATGGAAACTATGTCTTGCAGTGCTGCCTACGTTTTGCCAGCCCCTTCAACAGCTTTATCTTTGAGTCTATGCTCAGCCGGATGTGGGAAATCGCTCAGGGACGTTTCGGCGCCCGAGCGATGCGGGCTTGTCTCGAAAGCCACCATGCCACCAAGGATCAGCAGCGGATGCTTGCATCTGCTATCGCTCTCCACAGTGTGCAGTTGGCTACTAATGCCAACGGAGCTCTTTTGCTCACTTGGTTCCTTGATACGTGCACATTCCCTCGCCGCCGAACAGTGTTGGCCCCGAGACTCGTGCCTCACCTCGTTCACCTCTGCACCCACAAGGTTGCTTACTTGACTGTTCTCAAGGTGATCAACCAACGCAACGAGCCTGATGCTCGAGATATTGTTCTAAAGGCTTTGTTCTTCAGTCCTGGCGATGAAGTTTTAGAGAAGATCCTAAGCGATCAGACATCTGGCGCGACTCTAATCTTCAAGGTCTTGACCACCCCGTTCTTTGACGAGTCTATGCGGACCGAAGTCGTGAAGAACGTGTCCAAAGTTCTCACAAAGCTCAAGGCTTCCCCAAGCCAAGGCTATAAGCGCCTGATGGATGAAGTGGGCCTCTCCTCACGTGGTAGTGGTGGTCGGGAGCATCACCATGGACGTGAGGCGGGTCACTCCACCCCGGAGAAATCACAACACCGCCAGGCTCGTCACGGAAGCACCGGTTATCCAGCCCAGCCATCCACGGACAGGCAGTACAATGGGCAGTTTACTCCCAACACGTTTGGGCAGAACCCTGACGCCCGTCCGATCTCCGCTGACCAGTCCAACCCCCCGCCCCTTGACCCATACTCGACCAATGGGCTCGGAAACCACTTGAATGGTATTTCCAGTGCAGGCGGATACAGCCAGGAATCTCTGAGCCAGCAACAACTGCAATACCAAGCCTTCCTCGCCGCTCAGGCTCGTGGCGTCGCCCCAGGCTATCCTGGCATGCCGGGCGCCAACTACGGCTACCCATCTGGTTCGCCCGCTGTGGATAACCTGCGATCTCTGCAGCCGCAGCAGGCTTCTCCACTGTCTGGACCTGGCCAGATGAGTCCCAACCCGATGCTTGCCCAGAACTACCAGCAGTTCAGCCCCATTGTCAACCCTGCCCAGATGTATCAGTACCCTCCGCAATACTACCCCCAGGCCCAGCCTGTGCAGGGGCAGTCGGGCGGAGGCCGACGTGGACGGGTGAGTTCATTCTCGGATCGGCCCTAACCCGTGTAATGCGGCAATACTAACGTACATGCCTTTGCGCCCAGCGTTGATCCCATCTTCGCGTATGATTTCTAATCGACCTTCCTGCCTTCCCATATACATGTATAAATTTTCTTGATCATCTTCTTCTTCTTTATTTTCTTCCATTTTTGAAGTTTCTCATGGAGACCAAGCGGCTTTATCTGGCTACGTGTTGTGATCTCACTGTCCTATCTCTTCGCCCTGATCGGACGCTGGATCGCCGGCAGGGGAGAATCGGACCCGGGAGAGGAACTGGATGCGCATAGGGAATCGGTGAAAAAGTCTTGTGTCTCTTCTGGGTGGGGGGCCCAGTTTTGTATCTTCAGCGTTTTTGAATGACCTCGTATCTTTTGATCTTTCGATAGGACTTTTTCTCTTCAGTCTATTGTTTTAAGATCGAGATTTTGGCTGCCTAGTGGAGCATAGTGAATTGATGCATATGTGGAAATTATATCGTACTGAATGCAAATAAATCGAATTGAATTGAAAAGAATCAACTTTATCAAGATCTCTCCCATGTTGAATTTATGAGGCCAAGAGAACTGAAACTTCAACAACTACCCGGCGTGATCAACCGCCCATTTTCACCATCCCCAACAGGGCGGAAGACAAAGCCCAAGATGAGCAATACTACCCAAGAGACCGAAATTCTCTTCCAAGATATAAATATATACCTCCTCGACATCCCACATTCAATTGCGCTTGCGCAAGAAGGGAGACCAACGCCACACCAACAACCAGCCCCAGAATCAAAATCAAAATCGGGAACAGGAAAGAGTACACATAAGGAATTACTTTCATGCGAACCTATCAAAGAGCCATTCCCCTCTACCGAGCCCAAAAAGCCAGCTGCTCTCGCCAAGGTCCTTGACAGCATTCCTATTTCTGAGAGGCGGTTCCACTCGGAACTGATATTGCCACTCGTGAGGGATTCTCTCGAAACCATCAGGGCCGGATTTCCCCATGATCGCAGATGGTGTGAGGCTCGAGCTGTGCCTAGTCAATCTCACGATAGCACAGGGCCGAACCAACATCCACGGAAGCGGCGGAGGGGAAATGATACTACGCACTTAGAGTGTGCGCTAGATGGCCATGTTTCGTTTGAGAATGAACCCCCCTAATTCTATCCACTACCTCGCCGAACGACTTCGAGGCTTTATCAGATCTTGCCATTGTCAAGAATCCATCACCAGAGCCCGCAATTGTTAGGGTTAGAAACTGGCACGATGGTGAAACGAATTCTCTGTGTGAATATGCTGTCCCACCTGAGTCGAGCTTTGTACTTTGTACACTACCTCTATCTCAAACCGAAGCCGGTCGTCCATCTACATCCAATCATTATCCAATCCCTGGGCTCCCCAAGCACCAGAAGTTCAATCTCATCCTCATGGACCCGCCCTGGCCAAATAAATCCGTGCGGCGCAGCAGACACTACCAAACACACCACTATTCCGAGATGGATGTGCTTACTGAAGGATTACGAGATATACTACGTGTACACTCGCATGACCCTAAAATAAACCAGGGGCTACAACATTCTGAAACACAGACTGGTCGCCCGACTCAAAGTGAACAGTCTATAGCTGCTATATGGATCACGAATGCGGAAAAGGCCCGGCGAGCAGCATACGAGGCCTTGAGCGGTGCAGGATTTTGTATATGTGAGGAATGGGTCTGGGTCAAGACTACGTGGGACGGACGACCGATCACAGCACTGGACGGGCTCTGGCGAAAACCGTATGAGATCCTTGTCATTGGCCGCAAGAGTGGGCTTAATGTCAATGTCAACGCTCAGGCTAGCAGTACAACACCCCTGTCTCAAGTGGATGATCTGACACGGATAAGTGAGGCCATCACCACGAGACGAGTCATCGCTGCGGTTCCAGACTTGCATTCTCGTAAACCAAACCTGAAATCTATTTTCGAGGATGTGTTTTTCACCGAGGTTGGTCAGCTCCAGGACTATTATGCCCTCGAGGTGTTTGCACGTAACTTGACCGCTGGCTGGTGGGCTGCTGGTAATGAGGTCCTCCGGTTCAATGCCCGTGAATGCTGGGTTGATCTTGGATAGAGGAATACAGAACTGTACCAATCAGGTAGATATGCCTTGCGTGGATGAATTCCGGTGCTGTCAATCAATGTTGACTCAACGCTAAAGTTTACAGAGTCGTGATACTTGTACGTGTATTCATTGCATGGCCCCATATACATATCAGGCCCCCCTTCTGCTTATTTTCCC